AGTTTAACTTAGCTGCAAGGATCCTCTGATCGAGCTTCAGGGCGTTCACGCAGTCTTAACTTAGTTAAGTTGTCAATCACCCCCAGACGAATCGCCATAGAAGTATCCGTCTCAATGTGCGTGATGAAACTAAGTCACGCATACGGTACATAACTTGCAGGACTAATTTGACTTCGAACTGAAGACGGATGAGGGGACGGAGTTTTCTTTTTCTTTTTTCTAAAATTTAAGTTTTGAGCAGGGTTGGGGTGGGCTTGATAACTTTCCTGGCCATTTTGTTTCACCTTAACTTTCAGCAAGGTTTTCCCTAAAGTAAATGTTTCCCCTTTTGTACGTTGCGGATAATTTTATTCATCTTTCTTCGTTCGTGTTTTTTTGACAATTCCAATAAGAAACACACCGTCAGTAAACAGTGTACTCCCCTTCCCTCCCCTCTTAACAATAACACCATGATTCGTCCTTTACTTGACTTGAAATTGGGTATGCAGCGATTATGATATTTATGAATCAAGAAGCTCAGATAGCTGCGAACTGGGCCTGCGAGTTAAAGCGCTCAGAACTACTTTGTTTCCTGATGAAAAACTCGGATAGTGAAACAGGGCAATCTTTCCAAAAAATGGTCACGCGAGTCGCGTAAAAGTTCGACGTTTTGCGACAAAGTGCGGTGGACTCAGTTGTTGATTTTACGGATTGCCTTAACACATGTATGTAACACATGTATTTTAGACAAGGTCAACGATGCAAACTGAAGTAAGAGGGCAGGTGGGATGAAAAAAGAAATCGACATCAACGTATTTTTTTTCTCACTGAAACAAATTGTCTCAGTTCTTATTGTTAGAAATAAATATACACCAGTAGGAGGAATTTCACGTTCGTAGCTCTGCCTGCTGTTCGTTGACTTAAAAAATAGGCGACCAAGTTATAATGGCGGAGGTTTCATCGTCAGCTTTTCGCAATGAGCGTTCTTGAAACGGTTACCGTTGATTTTGAGTTGTGGTTTCGTTTTGCTGTAACTCTATTGAGCCACCAGGTAAGTGTTAGTCGAAGTGGAAGCGAACGAAGAATGGATATTGGAGTTGCAACGATTGTTTAGCGAGGCAATGGAGCAGTACATTCGATATGCAAATGCCAAATTGGCTAAGGAGATGGCCGTAAAACAAGACGTCGATCGTCAAGAGCTGGCTAAATTAGATTTCGGTAAAACTAGGAGGATGCTCGACCAAGCATTTGTAAAGCGTAACACGACTGAGGCAGTCTTTAAAACACTGGTTGACGAAGCAGTTCATTTGCTGGATTCACACGACGCTGGCGAAGACGCGATTCCGGCTCTTCGTAAAGTTCAGCACGCGTTAGACAGCATTAGCCAATTGTAAAGCAGCAAATGATAAGTACTAGGAGATCCTGAATAGAGATGAAGCGTTAATGGTAGTTGGATGGATTTTTTTTGTACAAAAGCAATACAACAAATCTATCGACAGAATTGACTCGCACATCCCCAAACTCAGCCCTTAAAATCATGACCAGAAGACCAAGGCAAAGTTGAGTAATCTACGTATGGAAAAAATCGGTCCGCAGTGCGTACATGTGTGGCTTACAAATTATACTCTTAATGAGGATAAAACTGAATTATCACGATGAGAGATTTTCAACTCGAAAGGTCCGTGATCGATAGTAGAAGGTGAAAATATGAGGTATTTTAGAGAATAGGGTGCTATTCCAGAGAATCACAAAGTGTGCTCGTGTGGGGCTTCCAATTATTTAGTTTTATCTTACTAGTAGTTACGATGTGGTAAATGAGATGCTGTTGTATTGTAAATGTATTTGCTAATTTGCGAATTATTGAAACTTATTGCTTCAGCTTATAATTAAACTCATCACAAATAGATGAGCTTGGAAACTGGTGCCTTAAAGGTTAGCGGGGTGCCAAAGCCATAAGGAGCTAGGAGGTATCCATGGCAACCCTGGAAAGCAGGAACCACCCAATGAGCGTCCGCTAACCAGCACCGTC